TTCACCGAAATCAAGGACTACACGAGAAATATATACAAAACACATGAGAATACATACGATAAGGACATAAACCGAGACTTTTGTGATGTACTCATCGCCGCCAAACTGAAAGCCATTTGCGAGGACAAGGAGTCGGCCCAGTATTTTACAGATGAAAACCTATCCTCCGTTATGATCGACCTGTTTATTGGTATTTTGTGATTGTTCATAATTTATAGATAAAAATATAGTTAAATAATTGTTTTTATAATAATGGGTATTAAAGCCGGAGTCGAAACATCAATGACAACACTTCTATGGATGATATTATTGATGATACGTAACCCAAATATACAACGAAAGTTGCGAGATGAGATTCATGAGAAGCTTAATGACAATGTTCCTGTCATAAGTGACAAGGTTAACTTAGATTATGTCATGGCGTATATAAACGAAACTTTAAGGTATAAAAATGCCGTACCAATTGGCGTATTTCATAGGGCTATTTCGTCCACCAAAATAGGTATGATACTTCAATGTGCAAGCTTAAATTAACATTAGTTATATTATTCGTTGCATTATTAATACAATTTAGGGAACAGGTATCCAATTCCGGCGAATACATACGTTATAGTGGACCATGGTTGTATTTTAATGGATGAGAATAATTGGAAAAATGCCGACCAATTTAACCCAGATCGCTTTCTAGATGACCAGGGCAAATATGGTACTGTCAAACCGGCTGCATTCATACCATTTAGTACGGGTCGTCGTGTATGCCCTGGTGAACAAATGGCTATAACAGACTTGTTTTTAATCCTGGTCAGATTTATTCAGTTGACAAATGATTATGAATTGAAATTGGTGAATGAGGATACAGTGACATTAGATCCTGAGCCTAGCGTATTGCTCACCCAAACTCCCATGAGTTTTAAGATTGTATTAAAAAACAAAATTTAAAATAAATTACATGGGTCAAACCCGATTATTACGTAATATCTTGACAATAGTTATTTTGAATTATACGAATATTGGTGTAAATTCAAATTGATTTACACTGGTACTTATTTTTAATTGATAAATTATATCACTACAGTAATAATAATCGCAAATAAACGTGTGCTGTATTCAGTTAACGTTGTCAATAAACAAAAGCATTTAAGTTGAAATATTGCCAGTGACATGTGGTATACTTGATTTAATTTAAAATTCCTTAATTTAAATCTTCAATGTACTATATGAGAAGCCAAGTGCTGAAAGCTTAAATTACTTTAATATTTAATATGTATTTTAATTATAAAAAGAAATGATTAGTAAAGTAAGTATGATTTTTTTTATAAAATGAAATTAAATCTTTGAACACTTATTGCCATTTATTTTGTAAAAATTTACCTCATACAAAACAACACAAAAACTAGTTTTTATTAAATTTTTTATAGTCTTTATAATAAATAGTATTTTAAAAATACTGCATTTAATTCTTATGATTACAGAATTGATAAGTTGATAAGCGTGGAGGCTATTTTTGTTTTTTAGAAAATTTTATTTTAGATATTTCAATTCTTATTCTCATTAAAATACATCATTATAATCAAGATTAAAATTGTCACACCTTTGTTACCAAACTAATATTTTAAAATATATCTTCCATTAATATTAAATTTGTTTGCAATCTTTTGGCATACATGTGGTGATATACTGATTTTGAAACCCCCAGATACTAAAAGCATAAAATCTAATAAACAATATTTTTTTAAGTAATCATATATTTAACTGGATGTAAAACTTAAAAATATAAATTAATTTATAATTATAATAAATATAATGTAATAATTAGTTTTATTAAAATTTTTAATTTAATCTATTATGTTATATTAATTAATGTTTCATTACAATGGCATTTGAATAATCCACTAAATAAACATGATATTAAATTAATTCATAGTTATTCATTAAAATAATATTTGTTTAATTAAAACTTGAAACGAATTACAACTAATTGAAAATTAAAATTTAAAATGTTTTATAAAACAATTAGAAAAGTAAGTTTAAAAGGTTTTTCATTAAATGATGTTTTTGTAAATTTAATTAAGTTAATAATGAATAGAAATTGTAAGCAATTTGTTATTTATAAATTGTTATCTTTTAAAAATAATTATTAAAATTCATTATTTCAGATTATATTGGTATTATATTGGCTATCATGGTGACCTATAAAACTACGAGTGACCCTCGCAAATTGGAACCTAAAGGTTGCAACTATATTATTAATACTAACCAGGATCAACAAACAATTAAATATTATCAAGCACAAATCAATTGCCCAAACAAATTAATAATGGATTTAACTAATAGTCAATGTGTTTGTCAGCACTACGCTAATGGCATAAGAGATATAACATGTATGGGAACGGGACCTTTGGATCTTTATGATATGTTTTCAAATTTAAGCCAGTACAAAC